TAATAGCATTGGTCTGCCAAACTCCTCATTTCTTTCCAAAGTTATTTGTAAAAACCCCGCGGTTTTTTAAATAGTACACAGATGCCCTCTCTTGCCTATTTTTTGACACGAAATGACATTTATACTATTTATTTTTCTCTAGCTTCAAGTTTTACTCTTTTATTTGCATTTTTTGTTATACAAATAAATACTCAAAAAAATTTCATTTCTTTATTTTTCAAAAAAATAATTTTTTTAGAAAATGTTAAAAAAGAAAATGAAAAATTAAAAAATGAAATAAAATACACTTTTTTATTATAAGTAAAAGTAAAAATAAGTAAAATAAAAAAATAGATACATATACTCACTCTCTCTCTCTCTCTAATTAAAAATTCTAACTTATTTGTTTTTTAAAACTAAAATAATTTTTTAAGGACTTTAAAAACAGAAGAACAGAAAGATAAAATAAAATACGGAATTAAAGAAAAAGATTGTTTTTTATATTTTTCTTTCTTTTCATTACCTTTTCAATTATTACTTTTACTTTGTACATAGTATTTTATTTTTCATTTTCTTTTGTAACATTCTCCAAAAAAATATTTTGTTTCCAAAAATACATTATGAAAACTTTTAATTTGAGATGGAAAGGGTATATTTTATTTTATATATTTGTATAATAAAGGAAAATAAAATAGCAAAAAATCAATATCAAAAAAAAAGAAAGGTTACAAATGTCATTTTTGCTTTAAAAATAAGTAAGAGAGGCATGTATACTCTATTTAAAAATATTGGCCACAAGATTGGGTTGTAGCGGCAAAAAAATGATATTTTCCGATCTTAGGGGCTGCTTTCTGCCCGAAAAAATGGTACTCATTTTTTTTTTGCGTTCCTCTCCATAAAAGCACTAAACTACTACGTAATACTGTGTTTTGTTTTAGGGACTAACTTTGCTCTCCCACACTGTATATATGACCACATTTTTCTTTTCTTCATAAAGGACCATCCAAATTAATGTGTTGCCTTGGTTGGTTATTAGATAATTTGTTGTCTTTGCGATCACCGATAGTGAATGGTGGCTTGTATATTCTTGAAATTTTAAACTAAAGATTTTTCGAGTCTCTACGAGCCATCTTTCACTATAGGTGACCAAAAAATTACATATTATATTTTTTATTGAAATTTTAAACAAATCTTTTATCTTTTATATACAAATTTGAATCCCTGACGATAAAGTTGATTGGATATACACATCATATCTGTGTTTAATCTTTCATTTTTTTAATGTATTCGGAAAGTCAAAACGGTCAATATAAAAGAAAGGAAGGAGTATTTCTTGTATATGGTATACCAATCATCTGATATCCATTTTAATATAAAAATATATTAGGTACAAATATTTGTAAGTATTTACATAAAAATATATTTATGGTTTTTATTAAAAAAAACTTCGAAACGGACTGCCACGTACGTGACCTATTTAATATTTTAAAAAAAGTTTAAACATATCAATGATTAGTTGATTTTCTTATTTTACTTTTTTTATGTATATAGGAATTTTAATACTTTAAAACTATTAAATTTGGTAATAATTTTAATTTTAATTTAAATCAAATTTAAATTTATTTACACCAAATCTAATTAGATAAAATTAGATCAGATCAGATCCAATCAGATCAGACTCAATCAGATCAGATCAGACTCAATCAGATCAGATCAGACCTAATCAGATCAGATCAGACCCAATCAGATCAGATCAGACCCAATCAGATCAGATCAGATCAGAACTTCAAAAATTCAGATCAGATTCAATAAGATTAGGCGTACGGAACAGAGCCTAACACAAGTACTCCTTGTGGCTTGGAAAATGGGGATCAACACTCCCACTATTTTCAAATTTATTTCTAAAGTTCTGGTTTCAAAACGTTGCACTCATATTCCTTTGATAATTTTGAGGTTATTTTTCTAGCGAAGAGGGGGCGTTAGTGTCTATTTTTCAAACCATAGGGGACACTCGTTTTCATTCTTATTTTTTTCATCTATTTTTTGTTTTTCCCTTTTTTTCTTTATTGTTTCATTAAATTTATTAATCAAGGTTGGCTAAATTTCTTTTTAATGTTATTTTTATAATCTACCTCTTTACAAAAGCAAAACGAAAAAAATCCGGCCTAAAATTGCTCTTTTTTTCTTAAAAATCGGGTAAAATATTGAGTAGAAGTTAGAACTGCAGATTCTCAACCTCCACTACTTCATCAACTTCCTGGTCCTCATATGCTCAGAATTAGGTTTGTCTACTGTTTGGAGGAGATCAATAGAAGAGTCTCGGAAAAGATAGAGCAACCGACTCACCGCTACTCAGAAGTATCGATCTCCACAACTTCCATTTTCCATTTCGAATTGATTATATCGTAATATGGATTCTTCAAAATTAGAGTTTGAGTATGTTAATTTTGGTTCCTCACTTCATCTTCCATATTCTTGCATTTGAATCATCTCAACCACTTTTTAATCTCTAAATCTTTATTCTTTATTTGTTTAGGTTAGTAAATGAAATATTTGTTTGCTCTATATTAGAACTATGTAGGATCGGCCTAGGGTTCAAGTCTAGCCTCTGCGCGCTGTTGGTTCCATAGTGTTGGCTAATCTTTTGGCAAAATAGAATCTCACATTTGTTAGGTATTTTACTAGGTATAAACCACTATTTGTTAGGAGAGGTTTATTTTATTTAGACTTCTAGGGCTGCTGCAGTTTTCGAGGTTGACACAGAAGATGCTACAGCATGATGCTGCAACACACAGTTCGGGATCAGAGGTATGAGCACAGGATTTTAAGCTGCAATCTGATATAGAGACCTATTGGGACTGAGATTACATGATAATAACTCCAGCTGTACATGCTAAGGAATCCCAACTCTTTAGGCTACTTGTGGATCAAGATTAAGGAAGTAGAGTTCAAGCCAACTTCTACTATCCTATTCCTTAGCTAGGATTGTGTTAAGAGGAGTCTATAAATACGCAGAAAGTCCCTGGGAATTACTTGGAGCGATTGAGAGGGAAAATACAGGATATATGCTGATGTAGAGCGTCCCCGTCGCGTCCCGGAGCTTCCCTTGCGTGAAGAAAAGTTATGATCTACATGAAGAAGGAGTCTTACAATGAAAACCAGATCGTGACAACCAAGAGATGAACCAGAGCTTAAGGAGGGCTGCCAACACGTTTGTCCTCGTGATCTCGGTGGAGATGTGATAGCCGAAGCGGATCTGAACAGAGTTCGGGTTAGGGGTTTCTAATCATGTTGTTATGTACGGGTGTAACTTCATTTTCTTTTACTCGTAATTTTTCAGATATTTATAATCAATCCTTTACTATAATATTTGAGACTCGTCGCACAGAATTTCGACATGTGGCGGGTCTACTTGGCATTTTTTTAACAAGTCATCTGCCACGTATTTAATCTTGCGATTTTTTCCAAAACATGCCTTTGTGGGGGTTTGAACCCAAAACCTCCTAGACATTTGGTTGAGTTTCTAGCCATCCAAGCAAGGTGAATTTTGTTACAAGATTGTATAAAAATTCCTTTTCAATTTTAAAAATATAATCTTTATATATAAAATTTGAGAGTTGGGCTTCTAGAATTGTGACATGTGGCGCGTTTATTAGATAATTTTTTTAACATGTCAGAATGCCATGTCATCAAGTTATATTTAAAGAATTAGTTAACAAAAAAACTTATTCAATGGAAATCAAATTTCGTATTTGTTACACACAAATTTCTCAGCATAATCGCGTTTAAAAACTTCTATATCTTAATTCATTGTTGGAAAATATTTAAATTAAATAATATGTTTTGAAATTGAAAAAAGAACTCATATTCAAAAACAATAATCAAAATAAATAAATTTATTCTAAAAACCGATAGATTGGTAAGACTAAAAGAAATTACATATGAATATTTTTTTACTTTGAATTAATACTAATTAGAGAGATATTCCAACTTTGAAAAAAGAGAAACAAATATATAAAAGAAAAAGGATTTTTATGGGCATGCTTATTTCATAGAGCAATAATTGTATATCATATATATTTAAAAAAATTCTAAGTCAAATAACAAGTATGTTCCATTTTAAAATTAGTATTTTCCATTTTTAAGTTATTATTTTCTATTACTAACTTTGTAAAAATTTATAGATATGTTCCAAAAAATTACTATTTTTCATTAATAAATTTTAATATGATGATGACTTAGTATGTGAGTATTTATGTGTAAGAAATTAATTATTAACTGATGTTCCTAATCAAAATATTTATGGTATAATATTAACTATTATAAGTGTAATTAGTATTAATTTCTTGAAAATAAAAAAACATGCCTATTTTGACATTTATGTCAAAATAAAACAAATAAGTAATATTTAGGGTTGTCTCTGAGAAATGAGGGGCCCTGTACGACAGGTAGAAAATGGGTCATTGTGTTATAATAAAATAAAGTCTATTCATTAATTTATTTAACAATAATTAACATTATATTAATAAGAATAATATCTAGACCCTATTGTAGTAAGATTCAACTAGGTTGTTGTTGTAGATTAATAAGAATAATATCTAGACCCTACTTGCAAACTTTAGAGATAAAAAAAGCTAAAAGATATTGTCAAAGAAAATGTTGACAAAGCTTCAATGTTTGAAGCTTGGATGATTTCCAATACACAATATAATGTGGGATAAAATTTGATGTATGCAAAGAATTTCCCAATTTTTGTGTGTACAATCATAAATTAAAGTACAAAAATGGTTCTGATGTAACAAAGGTCATCAATAGGCAAACTACAATATGTGCTTACGAAAACCAGAGAGTTGTACTATTAACTGTCCAGCGAGGATGTACAAGCTATTAGAGCTTGATGAAAGTTAACAATGTTCTACATAGCGTATTTGAGGTAGCATGTGAAGCATTGGGGTTATTAACCGATGATAAAGAACTTATTGAAGGTATAAAAGAGATTGCTAAGTTAGGATTTAGGAATATGCTAAAATGTTGTTTGTCCACGTACCATGAGTCACCCATAAATTGTTTTGAAAAAAAATTATAGGAACTCTTGGTGAATGAAATTTTATTTGATCGAATAAGAATATTTTGGAATCAAGGTACTTGAATATAAAGATAGTTTATGTATTAATCCATCTGAAATGCATTATATGAAAACAAAACTCTTTAATTGAGCACTGTATAGAAACAAATAATTCTTTTTTTGCAGAGCTTATAATCTCATGAGAAGACCTAAAGAATTTATGTCTAATTGAGATTGAAAAGTTGCTTAATTGAAATGGACGACCTTTAAAGGAATTCAAGTGCATGCCATTTGGAGATGACAATCAACTTAATAGATATCAAAATAGTTTTTTGTTAGAGAAGTTGAACTATGACTAAGAAAAGTTGTCATTTAATCTTAGAGGATATTTATCTACGTGGTAGCTTTCACTTCACATTGCTCTAGGTGGAAACAAAGATGTGAGCCTCCACAGAAGAGTTGCTTTCCTTATTCATTTACAGGTTCAGCCTTATTTTTTGCTTTTTTTTCTTTAATTAAGCTTATGAATGCAAGTCATACATTGTTGGATTTATTAGAGCATGTAGTTGGTTTACTGTTTTCATATCTTTCGAGCACTTTGCTTCATTTTTAGGGAGTTTCAATCTTTCATTTGTCTTGGTATTTCATCTCCAAATAGAGCATAAATGATACAATCCTTGCCATGAGATACACATTAAAGGAGTGAGAAGTTGTTGTAATGCTTTTGGTTGATCCCTATTATGTATGAGCATGGTTATATTTGTATAAATCTCCTGGTATCGGATTAATGAAGTTGGAATTCAGTAAAAGTATTTTTTATTTTTTATTTTCGTCAAATGGTATTTTAAAAGTTGAACCCATTGCTTCCAACAACTCAAGACTTACCTTGGTTTTGACTTTTATTAACTAGTTGAGATGTGATTTTTGTTAGGTATTATGGCATTTGATCCTTAATTTCATTCTCTTTTAAAGATAGAATGAAATGTTTTTCTCTAAATTTAAACGAATCTGTTTGGTTTCAGTTGATGGCTTCTCAAATTTTCCTCCATATTTACAATAATGTTGCTCAAATAAACAACCAAAAGGTTTGTTATATGTGGACATTTTTGTTTTTCATTCTTATGGTTTGGCATATAAGTGCAAGTATTCCCCATCGTTTTCTTTGACACCACTTCAATTATCTCTTCAATTTTGATTTTATTTAATTACCATTCTGGATGTAATTTCTACTCTATGCCTTTTTCGGGTGGATTCTTCATCATTCTTATAGAGTTGTGGTCATGGTGTGTGGTGTCCTCTGTGCAAAAAGGTTCACATCTAAGCTCTTAACCAACACATTTTTTGCATTTTGATTTCTTTTTCTTTGTTATGAATTTCAGATTCATAAAGGGTGAAAGCTTTGACTCGAGTGGCAGTGACGACATGAAGCTGAAAAGAAGCCTGTAGTGGCCACATAAATCAAGCTCAAAGGAAACCCTTCCAATTTGTCCTTTATGTTTTGACTATATCTATTTATAAAAATTCTCGAAATCGTTTACTGCCCCGTTCCGTTCAACTTATTTTTTCTTATTTTTTCTTATTCTTATTAAAATTAGATCAGATCAGATGAGACCAGATGAGATCAGATCAGATCGAATCAGATTAGATCAAATCAGATCAAATCAGATCAGATCTAATCAGATCAGATCAGATCAGGACTTATTAAAATCAGATCCCATCAAGAATTATTATTATTATTATTATTATTATTATTATTATTATTATTATTATTATTATTATTATTATTATTATTATTATTATTATTATCATCATCATCATCATCATCATCATCATCATTATTATTATTGTTGTTGTTGTTGTTGTTGTTGTTGTTGTTGTTCTTAAAAATGAAAAAGAATAAACTTTAGAAATAGGTTAAATAGAAAACTGAGAAAGTAATATTATTATTATTATCATCTGATGTATTTCATTTTTTTCATGAACACTCCAAAATATTTATTGATAATATTCTATTGCCTATATTATTTCCCTTCCATGGCTGGAAATTTTAATACAAATTTTCCTCCAAAATAGTAATTCAAAAGTTTTGAAAATGGAACAATATTTTTTTCTCCAAAACGGCACTAATAACTTTTATAAATCACTACAATTTTTTTGTATTGCAATTTCTTTCTTAATCCATACTTTGAATTATTATTGATAATTCAATTTGAAAAGGGCACAATATTTTTTTCTCCGAAACGACACTAATTGTAGGACCTCAGGCGCTACCAACTCTTATAAAACCAATTGGTGTTAGAAGAGGCGCATACCCTAGCCTTATAGTGCATTCAACACACAAGCGCTCACGACATTCGACTATGACTTGACCCACATAGCCTCCGCCACGGGAAAATTGCTGCACACATGGCCAACAATCTCCCCACAGCAATTGCTCCCGCTGGGAATCGAACTCGTGACCTTGGCTCTGATACCACTTGTAGGACCTCAGGCGCTACCAAGTCTTCTAAAACCAATTGGTGTTAGAAGAGACGCATACCCTAGCCTTATAGTGCATTCAACACACAAGCGCCCACGACATTCGACTGTGACTTGACCCACATAGCCTCCGCCACGGGACAATTGTTGCACACTTGGCCAACACTAATAACTTTTATAACTCACTACAATTTTCTTATATTGCAATTTCTTTGTTAATCGATACTCTAAATTATTTTTGATAATTCAAAACCGAGTATTATATTTTCTCAAAACAAAGAACAAAATTTGAAAATCGTTAGACCAATCTCAAACAAGAGTGTACTATTATATTTTTAAAAATATTAATTTTAAATTAAAAATTAAAAAAATAAAAATTAAATTTCCCTTAAATAATCTCACCTTTCATTTATCTACGGAAAACAAGCGTTTTCTAAAACTTCCGTTAAGTGGCTGTTAGTTTTTTAACGGCGACCCAAAACTCGCACACATGCAGAAAGGTGAGATTATTTCCTCTAACAGTGAAAAATGAAATTATTTTTGAAAGAACGCGAAAATGTGAGATTATTTGAGATAATTTTTCCTAAAATTTTTTTAAAGTAAATTCCATAATTGGTCCTTTATAACAGGGGGGTTTCCCTATTTAGTCCTCTATTATCAAATATTATCCCAGTAGTCCTTCATTTATGGGTATCTTTCCACAAATAGTCCTTTTTTGATCTTCAATCATGTTTGTGTTAATTTGAGGGCTAAAAGTGTAATTTCACAATGATAATATATCTTTTTTGTCATACACAATTCTAAAGGTTGTTACGTTTGCGCCGTTTGTGAATTACAGTCGCTTTCTACTACAACCATAGTCTAAAAATATGGTCTTTCGTCTGAATTCTAGTCCACAATCATAGTCATTATTTTTGTGTTATTCGCTTAACCAATATCAGAACACGTCACTAGACATAATGTTGATGTCAAATTATGCTTTTAGCCTTTAAATTAACATCAACTTGGCAGAAGATCAAAAAAAGGACCATTTGCGGAAAGACACCCTTAAAAAAAGGACTACGGGGTAATATTTGATAATAGAGGACTAAATATGGAAATCCCCCTGTTATAAGGGACCAATTATGGAATTTACTCAAAAATCTATACTCCCTCCGTCCCGCTATATTCATCTACTTTTGACTTTTGGAACTGTTCATCTAAGCACTTTGACTCATCAAATTCTCTCAATGTGTAAGCCTAAATATAGTCATGCGTGATCTTATTTGATTTGTCTTAACATATAGATTATTAATATATAATTTCTATAATTTTTTAATATACAAATTACAAGATAAAATGGATTAAAAAAGTGTATTGGATGGTGTGCAAAAATGAAAGTGGACAAATATAGTGGGACGGAGGGAGTATTACCCCATGCTTAGAAGTGAAGATACTAGTTAAGTAAAAATTTAATTTTGTGCGGGTCTACCAAATCGCCATTTGGAGAATTGGACTAATTGCCTAAAAGCCCTAAACCATGAGTAACGGCTAGGCATCCACTTCCCCCATTTGAAAACTCAAAATTCCCAATTCTTTCCTGACCAGACCCTAACATCTCTCTCCTTCTCTCGCTCGCTCGCTCTCAATTGTTCCTGGACTTGGTTTCAGTTCTTGATAGACTCTTGGGGGGCTTTGTGATTGTACTGGGTCGAGTTTTCAGGGGCTTCGAAAATCATGGAGATTCCGCCTGAAACGGACAATTACATTCGAGAATCTATCGAGCACTCCCTAGGTCTCCCCGTTTCTAAAGAAACTCTTCAATCGAAGCTTGAAGCCTCCCAACAATCAGAATTCCTGCTTCGCAATCAGTGCCTTTTCTTGCAGTCCAAACTCAAAGAAAAAGATGGCGTCCTTGAACGGGCTAGGGTTTGCATAATCTCCCCCCAATTATACTCGATTTTCTTCTTTTCTTTGTGACTTTTCGCTTTTAGTCATTGAAGATATTTTGTGTTTTAGGCTGAGGCGAGTATGAATGCAGTAGCGCTGAAGAAGTTTGTGGAGGAGAATCAGAAACTGGCTCTGGAGTGCTCGAATCTGCTGGAGCAGTCCAATAGATGGCAGAGGGAGTGCTCATTGTATGATGAGGACCGGGAAGCATTGATGGATTTCGGGAACGAGGCGGAACAGAGAGCCAAGGAGGCTGAGCTACGTGTGCAGGAGTTAGAGGCCGAGGTTGAGAAGTTGGAGGAGGAATTGCGGTTTTACAAGTTTGAGGCACAACAGGTTAGAAGTGATATTAGTAATCTAGTTCTGACAAAATATTTTACTGTGCATGATGGGATTATGGATTTTGAGAAGACAACTTAAATACATAATCAATGACAATTGACAAAGGGTTCTGCATATTAACAATATCTATGCTACTATTTACTCTGTGTAAAAGATCAAAAACCATAATCGAGAAGCCTGTAAGGGGACGTTTGGACATTAGATCATGGAATCTCACATTGACTTTGGTGTGCCCCCTTGAAACATTCTCCTGTGCATATTTTCCAGCAAAGCAGCCAGGTTCTCTTTGGTTGAGACTGGGGCACCGAATACCAACCTGTTTGATACTTTAGTTGATGATTATCTTAGTGATCAAAATAAGAATTTTACAATAATCCATACAACCTCGTAATGTGAGATCTTTAAAAAAAACATCCAATACAAAATTTGATGACTTTACATATAGAGAAAAGAAGTGTTCAGATCTCAAATGTATACGGAGTATATAATAGGCAAGTTTGCGATTAGTAAACCATCAAAACTCAGCTAATCGTACCAAAGGTTAGCTAATACGTATTGGACAGCATTTCCACCTTGGGCTAGACCTATGAACTGCATTACCACTAGGCACAATCACACTAACATATATGTGCGGAGGTGCATTTCACGTGCACGTTATTGCTGTGTTTGGTCTGTTAGTTGGCGATACTTCTTGAATATAGTTCTTTCTAATGGATGTTTGTAACAAAGCTCTCCGTTGAACCAAATTTGTGCCTCGCTGCATTTCCGGTCATGTTAAAGGCTTTCCCCTTTCAATTTCTCTGTAATGTGAGGTGCAAGTGTTTTGGTGATGGAAAAAAAAGACAAGCCTGAGTATGAAACCAAAGATACTAATATCTTGGCCGCATTCGAAGTAACAAAGTGACTTGACCAACGGGAGAACGGGAGGTCCCACAAATTGGCAAAGGACTCAGGCTCTAAAAGTATCATTCTATCACCACATTCTTCTTTGCTGTATTCATCTTAAAATTTACAGTATCGGATATCCACAAGAAATTGGAAGCAATATAGTGAGTCATATTCCCAACATGTAACATGACGGCTAGTGTAAATTGTGCAGGGTTCGAATGCCAAATTTATATTGAAGGGAGGCCTCTCATTCCCCTTCTCCTTTATTTTATTTCACTAAGATTTGATTAGTGTTCTTGCAAGTGTAGCAGACTAGCAGGGGCACTGTGGCAGGACAGGAATACAAGGTGTATAATGATAAAATGGATCAAAATAGTGAACTCAAGAACTTAACTGTTGAAATCCCCTCGATTGTGAGGCACTTCAGTTCTAGGTTTTCGGCCTAGGTTCTCCAAAATCTAGCTCTCTGTAAAAAAAAATTACTAACAAACAAAGAGGTTCACCCAAACCAAACAGAGCTCAAAATAAATTTCTTGAATCTAGTACAATAAAAATACAAACTAGTTAACTATTGAACAACTATCAGGCATTTCACATTCCTTGGGGAGATATATGTAACAGCAACCTGAAGTATCCAACATAGGATGTAAAATTACAATTGAAATTTGAGACATTATAATGTTGAAAAGTAAAAAGTGTATGGTCTAAATTTGTTTATAAGAGAGAAATCTCATGAGCCACATTATTTTTCTCAGTGAGAAAGTCTAAACTTCACTTTGGGACATCCAAAAAAAGGAAGATCTAACTTCATTTTGGGACCGAGTGACTACTGAAATAGACCATAGAAAAGGAGAGTAAATAGCCGATAGTCCCATAGTATATGAGTATGCATCTTTGGCTACGATCTTCTTCAAGCATTTCCAACAACGTAACAACAGTTGTCTATGTATTGTCTAAATGACAAGCTTCAAGAAGATGTCGATTGATGAATGAAAAAGAAAAGTTGTGCAAGTAATTTCTGTGATGTCCTTTGCTTTGATTTTGTTACTGTTTCATTGCACGAGTGGCTGTAAACTCGATTACTGAAACTAAGAAGACTGCATTGTTGGAAGTGTGTGTTACTATTTGGCACAGGTCTCTAAAGAGCATCAGAGTTGATTCTTATAGTAGAAATGCAATTAAGATTGGCATGGACCAATCTTTATTAGTTACTTGACTTTTTTATTGCCATAACTTGGAGTTCTATTGCCATACACTCTGAATTGTCTGTCAGCTTTTTAAGAACAATAAGACTTACATTCTGCGAGAATAGTTTTTTCACTTGGTAGTTGATATTTGTACAAATTCTTGTCCTGAAGGTTGATACATCTGGAGAAGAGGCTTGTACAGGAAAGGTTTTAATGGAGTCTTTGCTGGGAAGCATAATGAGCCAAGAAGAAGTTCAATTAAAAGCACGTGCTTTTCTAGAGGCAAACAGCAATATTGATGTTTGTCAAAAGTTGCTAAAAGGGTGGAAAAGGTAATCTCTAATATTAATCCATACTCCCCTTTCCATATATTAACTCTTGGATGACTTTACACATGTTTTAAGAAGGCAGAACTTATGTGGGAGAAACAATATCAATTACATAAATATAGGGATGACAAAAAAGAAAGAATGAAGATAACATATGGACATAGGGAGTATTAGTCTGCCTCCATCTATGTATTGCTATTCACCTATTCGTAAAGTCCCCAGGTGACTTTTTTTTTCTCGTGCTAGGTTGAGTCCATCAGCACACAATGCTCTTGCACTGGCAGCTGAAGTCAAAACATTGCAGACAGATAACGCGCAGTTACTGATTAACCTTCAGAGGGCCGAAGAGGAGGTTTGTAGCTTTATGTAAATGCTAAACTGTCTCATTCCTAGTATGCCGATAGTAAAATTCATACTTTTGGGTGTGCGGCAGGTGAAAGTGTTTTTTGAAGAAAACAATCTGTTGGACGAAGAGAACAAGAGGCTAATGCAACATTTTCAGAGGGAGAAGCATAATTCTGGTTCTGGTGGGAAAAGTTCAGGCTGTGCTTCTGCAAAGGTCAGGTTTACAACTAGGCGAAAGAAAATAAAACAATTAGGGGTGTAAACGGATATTAATTGGATCGGATGTGCCATTACCAAATCCGCATCCGTTTATTTTTGTCGGATATCGAATTCAAATACGGATCTTGACGGATACTGAAAATCAAAACCGTATCCGCATCCGTTGGATATCGGTCGGATATCGGATATATCCGTATCCGTTTCCAATTTTTAAAATCAAATTAAAAAATACTTTATTTTAAATTAGATTAAAGTCAAACTATTATTAAATCAACTATAATTTGTTATGAGATAATTATTTTCTTTGTTTTCATGATTTCTGATATTCTACGATAACTTCATATGATAAAAAGATATATACAACACATATATACACATATTTTTATATGTCTGTATATATTTTTATGTGTACACATTTATTTTGTATTAAAAAATGTCTTATATTTTGAAATATCAATAGAAAAAAATATAAACATAAAAAGTTAGGAAAAATTCTATATAACGGATCGGATATTCGGATAACCGGTTATTTAAACGGATGCATATTCGGATCGGATTTTAAACGGATCGGATATACAATTACCAAATCCGTATCCGTTTAGTAATCGGATATCCTTAATCGGATACGGATAATATCCATTTAAAACGGATGCGGATATTTCCTCTTTAAACAAATACGGATGCGGACGGTAATCGGATTTTCGGCTATCCATTTACAGCCCTAAAAACAATACTTTCAGATTTAGACCTGTTTAGTGTAATGGTTTACAGTACTAAATTATAAAACGGTCCTCAGGGGAACAAGAGAAAATCAGGTTCCAAGATCAGTACTTCCTTGGACAGAAAGATTGACTTCAATGGAGTCGATTCTTCAAGGCTGCCATTATCACCCCTAAGGGAGAACTCACCTGAGTGTCGAGCATACAAGAAGTAGCTAGAGCCCGGTGAACATCGTCCTCTACCATTCTCCTAACTGGTATGTGTATCATCACTTAGGGTTTCTGCCAATCAACTGTAAGTAATTGATGTTAGTTCCAAAACTCTTCCTTTTCATCTATAGGAAGCTGCCAGGTTCACTTCATTTTCAATTTTGTTCGATGGTTGAACAGTGTGCCATTTTTAACTCATCCTTGCATTATTTCCTAGTTGTTTTACTCTCTGTGTCTTTTCATGTTTGATTGCTCTAACTTGTGCCCTTTTGGCACTAGCTTTCATTTATTAAAAAAGCTATCTAATAGCAATATTTAGCCGCAGCATTTTCAAAGTTAATCTGTACCATTAAAAAACAATCCAAAATACTAACTCTAGTTGAAAACGGTGTTCCAAAACCTTAGGCATCATGATAAAACTTCTCGAGTTGAGTTGTAATTGTTGTTGTGGAAGCTCTTCAAATATGTTTATTTTTTTTCATCTTTTCATGATTCTTGTTTGGGTTTGCCTTTGTTCCTTCCCTTCTCTATGCCAGCTTTTGTGGAGACTTGTGCAATGTTTGATGGATGGGTTTCGACTGTTCTACTCAATCCACACATTTTAACCCCACACAAGAAAATTGTATTTGTAAATTGTATTTGCAAATTATTTTAGGCTTCAAGTTATCACCTTTTGTTTTGAGACATTTAAAATTTGAGTTAACATTCTTTTACGGTTAAAGGGTATCGGCAATATTATTTCTCTACCTCTTCTATGTGAATGTCAATTTTTATAGCATGGATTAGGTGTGCCGTGTGCATTTAGTCATGTGGAAAAAGGAGGGTCGCAATAAACAAAAACACTGTCTAGTGTGATTCTTTTAAGAAAAGAATTACTCCTTTCGTCCTTAAATAATATTCTTATTTTGAATTATGATGTTTAAATGTAATTATTTTTAATTTGAGTTAGTCAACATACAAGAAGTGGAATATTATATTAGTAAGTGAGCATAAAGTAAGGTCATGTTCTCCTCAACTTATTTTTTTTACTTATTACTTATTCTAATTGGGTACAGATTAGATAAGAAATATTTTATATATAATTACATTCAGATCAAATTAGAATTTATTCCAATCATATCAGAAACAATTAGATCAGGTGAAAAAAACATGGTCTAAGAATCCTTCCTTCCTAGACTCCTAGTGTATAGAACAAGAGAATAAGACACTCATTTTAGTTAGTGAGCATAGAATAAGAGAATAAAACACCTACGAATATTGGTTAACATGCTTTTAGTCATTGTCTTAGTATATAGTAAGTGCTCTCCTGTTCTAGTATATTTATGGAGCATTTTTTGGATTGTTGATGTATTTGACTTCAAAAGTCCTATGCTAGACTTCATACTACAAACTTCAATTATCAAATTCCAATATTTAGATTGTTTGGAAAAAATTACTCTCAAATAACAATACTTTCTCAAGAGATAAATATGAGAGGAACAAAATGTGTAGAAAAATAAGAGAATCAACACACAAGAATCTTTTTACATGAAAATCTCTCTCAATTAGGGGAAAAAACCACGACCCTTTCGGGTTAAATTTTTTTACTATAATATCAATTGGAGTATATCAAGATCAGAATATTACACCAATTAATATTATCTCTATGTGAGAATTTTCTTAAACACTAGAATCCTCTCCCTCCTCCCCCCTCCCTCCACGTTTGGGAAGACTTGGGGGCACACTTACACAAAAGACTGAAAGAGTAATACTCTATTTATAGAATTGCATCTTTCATTATTTTAATTCATTCTCTTTTCAATCACACGCCCATTTCACATCACATATTATGTTTCTTTTTATTTGTTTTATTTTATTTTCTTTTCTACTCTAAAAAAAAAATAAACTCTAACATAATTAGTATTTGGTAAATGGGATTTTAGTTATAATTATTATTGCATCCAAATTTTATACTTCATACGTCCTTGAAAACACTTCTCGTTTTGATCAAGTGCCAAAATAAGGAAGTATAAAATTATAGTTGACTTCCAATTTTATTCTTGATGTGATAGGTAAAAGTAGGATGTGATAAATAGGTTATTAGAAAAAAAAGTATAATGTGAAAGGTAGGGTAAGAAAATGTAAGAGTAAAAGGTGGTTTTTTAATAGAAGGTAGAATTGTTCAGTGGAAGAGAAAAAAATGAAAAAAGAAATGTTTTAGTGAGTGGGGAGTATTTAATTACTCCGTACTAGATTTCACTCTAATTGTGATATTCCCGGCTTTAGACTTCATTGCAATTAAATTTAAGACGAAAACAAAATAAGTGACAGCATAATGATCATCATCATCTTCTTCTTTTTCCTTTTTCTTATTTAAAAAAATATCACGAGTAATAAGTAAAATGACACTAAACTTATACGTTGATATCAAATTGTTCCAAATATTTTTTCATCAGAGTGGACGGTATGTTTAGAGTAAAAAGAAATTAAACTATTCCTCCCTCTCTCTCTTCTCTTTATGTTTTATAGTATTGGTTAAAACTTGGCTAAATTCCACCATTGGTCCTTCAACTTTATCAATTGTGCACGATTGGTCCTTCAAGTTTTAAAAGTCCATAAATAGTCCTTCAACTTTATGAGTTATGCATGATTGGTCCTCCAAGTTTTAAAAGTGTATAAATAGTCCTTCAAGTACACGTCAGCCCTCCAGATGAGGTCCTTTTGACAGTAAATGTTAAAAGCTAAATGGAATACTAGCTCCATATAATACGAAGTAGTCGTACCTAGTGAAATTTACTCGTATTATATGAAACTAGTATTTCGTTTAACTTTTAATATTTACTATCAAAAGGACTTCATATGGAGGGCTGACGTGTACCTGAAGGACTACTTATGGACTTTTGAAACTTGAAGGACCAATAGTGCAGAAATCATAAAGTTGAAGGACTATTTATGGACTTTTGAAACTTGAAGACCCAATCGTACACAACTGATAAAGTTGAAGGACCAATGGTGGATTTTAGCCTTAAAACTTTGTATTATTGCTATTTGGTAAAGTTATATAATAAATCGGGGTTCAAGTGACATTGAATTTTAATGTTATAGCATCACTCGAGGCATTTACGGTTCTTCGTTCAAAAAATTGATGATTTCTACCCCCAAGCAACCCCAATAAATCCCCCACCCTAGCGTGACCCAAACCGACCCCCCACCCCCTCCAATTGCACCCACAAAATTTAGTTGACTTTGGAGTCAAAATTTGACTCCAAAGTCAACTAAATTTTGTAGTGTGCAATTGGAAGGGGGGTCGATTTTGGTTGGGCCGGGGTGGGGAGTTTACCGGAGCTATTTGGAGGCTAGGAACTATCAATTTTTCGAACTGGGCACCGTAGGTGCTCCAATCGAGGCTCATGTCATTCTGACATGAGAGACTAATGTCACCCAAACCTCCCCGTATTATTCATTACGTGGTATTTATTAATATTAATACTTTGTATATTATTCAACTAAAGTTAAGATGTTATTTAATATATTGGTAAAAATAAGATGGAGTATTATACAAATATTAATTAAGAAAAATTATCTATAATATTCTCAACTTTATCTGGTCTTTCAAAAATAATTTCATTTTTCAATGTAATGCATAATAATTCCAACTTTACTGAAATTTGCAAATTTTGGGTCGCCGTTAAGTTACGAGTTAACGGAAACGGCCTGTTTTGCGCAACAAAATGAAAGTTGGGAGTATGGTATATTCTATGAATTTTCATTTTTTAATTTTTTGGAAGCTTAATTTAAATTTTTAAAATTATTCTCTACCTCCATCATTTCCATTTTTTTAAAGATTAGTCTAACTTTGGATAAAAAAATCGAAATAAAAAATTACGAAAATGAGAAAAATAACTAAAATCATACAAAGTTAATGAAAAAAGTAATAATCAATAAAAATTAACCTGAAACTGGTAAGAAATAAAAATAAAAATATATGGAGTGGAGAGTTTTCACATCTTACACACTATACAGAGCATTAATGTATTACTTTTTTATTTTTAGAAAAATTATCTAGGATAATTTTAATTTTACCTGTTGTTTCAAAAAAATAAGTAGTACATTAAAATAATATAGAGTGCGTAAAATGTTAGAGCACTCCACTCGTTATATTTTCATTTTGTTTCTTTTCAATTTAAGTTTAATTTTTATTAATTACCTTATTTATTAAATTAATTTTGTATGGTTTTGGTTATTGTTTTCATTTTTGATATTTTATATTTATTTTTTTTATTTTTACAAGATAAGAATAATATTTAAAAAAGGAAAAGAAATTGATCTAGAAAGTTATTTTAAAAATTTTAATAAATGGCGAATTGGTGTGTGTACACCATAGCTTGTAATAAGAAAAGTATGAAATTAGTTGAATCTGATATGGCGCTAATGTGGAGAAAGAGAGAGATGATGTTATAAAAAGGGTATGAAGGGTATGTTCTCCCTCGTACAATAACATTTTTAAAAACGAATACTAGTGTTAAGCCTCTTTTTATTGGAACAAAGAGCACTTGTATGTTGTACAAAAAAAGCACCTCTGTGTTGCTATTAGAGGGCAATGATACTATGATAGGGTATCCAAGATGGACTACTCCATTTGTAACCTGAAATTTACAGACATACATGGTTTTTTAATGTAACCTGAAATTTACAGACATACATGGTTTTTTAATGTATGTGTGGCATAGACATTAAGAATCTTTGTATTGTGAATCCATATGTACAAATGATTAAATCATTCCATTTGTACAACAAGCTACAAAACTCGGAAAAAGGACATCTTGAGAGCCCTTCAGAAAAAGATGAGCTACATTTCTGAGGACTCCCTGAGACCTGTCCAGACAGTCACTGAGAGAAAGTAAATTAGACTTTGATTGCAAATCAGTGGCAAAGAGTGGAGTCTAAAGCTGGTACCTGCAGAGGTCTTATGTTTAGTAAAGTTACCTCCAAGCACAATTGCTAGGAGTCGAACTCATGTCTTACCCTTTTAGCATTTATTGCCTTGCCAACTGCGCAACACCCACCGGCCTGAGAGCCCCTCAAAACTGATTGAACGGTCAACTAAGAAAGAGTAAATAGTGCTTCACAAGAGGTCTAAAAAGAACGAAAGCTCAACACTAAGGTCATGTTCTCTTTAACTTATTCTTATTAGTTATTACACTTTTTCTTGAAATTAGATCAAAAATAACTTTAAATATAATTACATTCAAATTAGATTAAATCAAACTAGATCAGATCAAAACTTATTTCAATCAAATAAAAATCATTCAAATCAGGTGAAGAGAACGTGGCCTAACTAACTCGTCAACAACATATTGCCAATAAAAATGGAAACTTTTGAATTGGGCAACCTCTTTTTTTGTTTAGTAATAATTGGGCAACATCATATTGTCAATAAAATTTGAAACTTTTGTTCGTATGCAATTCGTTTTTTTAACTTTAGCTGGTTGTTTTGCATTTCATTTGTACAGGTGCAGCATATTTTTTACTTTATTAGGTAAATATATAGAAATAGAACAACTATTTTTGGATAGATTAAAAAAAGTAAGATAATTAAAAGACTATTTACTGAAATATTCCCTATATTCTCAAAAAGAAATCCGCATTAATTTTTTTCACGGATTTTTAAAAAATTAATTTGTACAACAAAAGTTTATACATATGAAGAGAATATTGTGAACAGTTTATTTATTTTTCTAAATGGAGCTGAGACATTTGGGAAAAAGTGGGAAATTATTTTAGAGACAAATGAGATAACAGGTCTCTTTACATCATACTTTGTATAATCTTATAAATGTATATTTGCCGGTGAGCGTTGCGCAGTTGGTATTGCAAGAGGTGTCAAGGGGATTAGATTCGAGTTTGATTCCTGGCAATTGTGCTAGAAGGCAACTATGCTAAACATATGGCCTTAAGACCTGAGTGACATTGTGTTCTAAAAAGGTGGAACGCCCATCTCGGGCACTCCTACATCCCGGCCAGACAAGATTGTGAGTGAGGAAAGGGAGGATAAATAAAGGTATAACATCAATTTGATCCTTAGAGAGGTAATCTCATGGCCGGTGCGCGCAAAAAAGCTATTACAAATAATAGAATTCTCATACTGTCATTTCAGAATATGACCCCAAGATCAACGAATTTAAAATCTTCTCCTTGAACTACTTAAGCAATTCATACGCGCTTACCATTGTGTTTTAAGAAGACTTGACGGAGGGTTCAATGGTGTCCTGTATGAGTTAAGTCTAATTCGAGTGGAGTGATATTTGGATAAATAAATTTTTGTGTGTTCAAGTCTCGTTGGGGCCTTTGGGCCCAATGCGGTTCAATGCGATTCGAGTTTTGTGTTCTATTTAGGTATAGCCGTATAGGTAAAAATGTGCCAATCATACTAGACGTACCCAAGAATTGCACTCAAATTATATGCTAAAGATATGCAGTAATATTTTGATAGTTTATATTGATATAAAATGTTAATGCGACTGACAAATTTTGTACTAAAATTTTGTATTAGTGTGAACTATCACATTAGTCTAACACTGAACAAAATGAAAATTTGATAGGTAAAACTATCAAAAAAATCATACTGATACCGTAACAAAAAGTGCACATAGGGGGTCACTTTGAGCACGGGTCAAGCAGGGTCGGTCCTAATATTTTATATACCACTTGTTGAAACAAAAGTAGGCATTAAGGGGGTGTCTGAACTGCTAGTGTTTATTGACTTATTATTGATAAATAACAATTAACTTATGACTTATGAGTTATTTATAAGTCAAATATTTTTCATAGAAGTAAAGTAACTTAAACAATAAATAAGTCATTTATAAATATTCATAAATAGTGAGCAACAGTTCTGTACATAATCTGGTTAAAAATAAAAAATTGAAAACAAACTTAAAAATAAGCAGTTAAGACCTACATGTAGTTTCTGATATAAGTAGCTTATATGTTAGCTTATAAGCACGTAGAAATATGTTATCAACTAACTTATAAGTTGAAAACTACTTATAAACAATTTTTTCGAGCTTATAAGTGCATAGAAACATCTATTGAATATGTACGGAGTACTTTAATAATCCATTCCACAAATGAAATAGTCCATTTTTTCAGAGAGCTCGTCTGAATTTTTTAATTAAAAAGGATAAATTTTGATCATTAATTATACTTTTTTTTGTTTGCATATTAATACAATAAAATAAAATTCTTACAAGAACACACTTTATTTAATTACATGGAAAATCATAATATTAAAGTAAAATACTCCATATGAAATTAAAGAAAAATACGGAGTAATGCTTTTGTTGATAAAGAACATTTATTGTCCAATAATGATCTAATCTTAATATTTATACACATAATCCTTCTGTCTCAAAATGTACATCACATTACGCAAAACGAATAGAAATTTTAAGTTTTTAAATTTATTTTAAATAAAGATTTGTTTAAAAATAAAAATAAAATTTACATATTTTGAAATTACATAACAAAAATTTAAAATAAGTTGTAATAAGAATATTTTATTTTATCAAGTAATCTTTGAAAATATGCAAAAAAAAAAAATCTCATAATTTGAAAGGTCAATTATGCCATTATTTTTGGGATGGAGAGAGTATTATCTAGCAATAATGATCTATTCTCAAGGGAATGTGGAGAGCTAAACCAAATTAATCCCGTGGGGGGAAATGTTATGGTTCAAACATTTTGGATGAGTTCCCATTTTATTACTGTATTTTATTTGTAGAGTTGATTCTTAATATTACTAAAGCCAAATCACAATATCTACAAATAAAAAAATTACAATAAAAGACGAAGTATTTAACATCTTTTCCCATGATAAATGAAAAAAATAAAAATAAGAATAGCTTAACGACTAGAACCGACTAAAAAATTACAATAAAAGACGAAGTATTTACGGAGTATTATACTATTTTGCTTGATTGCTGATGTTGAAAACATGGTCTGTGTATATAAATATATTCGAATATTCGAATATCATCCAAATCGAATATAATTCTATTTGTATTTGTTTAATATTCGAATCAAAACTAATATTTGAATTTGAATTTGTATTGAATAACGCGAATTCGAATACGAATCACGAATCGAATTTAAAAAATTTTTGATTTGTTTATATCTCTAATGCCAGAGACAACGTGACACAAATAGTTCGACAAGAGGTGTCAAAGAAGATAACACCTGAATTCAATTAGTGTCAACTACACTCTCGCACGTAATTATACCAAACATAGAAGAGTCTATGTATTATCTAGAGGTGAACAACACTCTTTGCCAGCTAACCAGTGATTAAAGCTCAATTTATATTTGTGCGACTATCTAATCAAGTTTTAGAAGAGACTTTAAAAAATGAAGCTCATCTTTTTTTTATTAAAAAAAGGGTGGGTGAATATTTTAGGGTAACCTGGGACGGGGGTAAATATTTGGTCCTTGTCACGCCACCTTTTGCGCTGCCTGCACCCCGAAGCACATGGCTTTTTATACGACCAAGAATGCCTCTCCAACAGCTGTAACCCACCCAACCCTATCTTCCCAACTCATCCCGAGCCAACTCGCCTCCCATCCCATGTGCTCTTTCTTCACTCGTTTTTTTTTCTTCTCTGTTTTTAGTTCAAATGCGGAGTACTACACACACTACCCCTCTATACTCTAGGGGGTTTAGAAATAAGCCATTTTTTAAGAATTAAACTTATGCTTTGAATGGTTGTTTAATAATTTTATTCTATTTGGCATTTCAGCTTTTACTTTCCTCTATCACTGTTTTATAGATAGAACATTGGTTATGAGATATTTTTGCTTTCAGCTTTTGTGGAAATTAGTTTCTCTACAAGGTAATCACTCCCAAACACCCTATAAAGGTTTGTCATGATTTTTAAATATATAAAAAAAAAGAATTAATGTCAATAGATTTTATCTCCATACTCATTCATTCTTGAATGTATGATGAAAGTCTAAGAAGAATTAATACTCCTTAATTAATTTAATACAGAGTAGGGCATTTTATTTACAATAAGCATTAAGTTAATAATTCAAAAGTTGTATGTTTAACAGAAGAATTGTGTTTCCACAATCCTAATATCCACATCTGATATATAGATTTTTTAGTGAACCAACATGGAGTATTTTTTTTCAAATAATCCAATCATTCATGGTGTTGTTATGCAAAAGTTGATAAAATGATTATAAATTTTAAAATCATAGAAAAATTATATATTTCAACGAAAAAAAAGCACCCTATAGATTGACGCCAAAATTAATCATAATTCTAAAATTATACTCCCCCTTCATTCTAAGTTATTATTTCGATTTCAAATAATACGAGTATTTTTTAAAAAATAAATTTATTTAAAAATGATTATAACAGTTAAATATACAACTTGTATATTTAAATTTAAAAATAAAATACAAAGAAAAAAAATTAAAAAATTATCCTAAATAAGACTAAAATATTGAAACTAGTTATGAATGATAAAAGTAAAGTATACTAACTTGTGGTAGCCTAGCAAACCCCCAAAAAAATTATAAACACAAAATGGTAAAAATACAATTTATTTTGAACGATGTAAGTATTGGTAGTGTTTGATTGAAATCCTTTTTATCAATTTTAATTTAACCTGTAACGAAATTCATACAAGGAACAAAACAGAAAAAAAGAAATCGCAGAAAGAGAACAATGCCATCATCATCATTATAATAAGATTCATAACATTAATAATGATAATTATACAAATAATACGAAGGTAAATACGAAAAACAATGGATCTGCAACTCTGTCCCTCTCAATCGCCACCGATAAACACCACCGTCGCCGCCGACCAATCACAGCAAGAAAAATGAAAACGATAAAACAAAAAACAAACGAAGTATATAGCTAGAGTAAAAGTCCTAAGTCATCAGATCCAGCGAATGTGACAGGAAATCTGTTAGACGGCAGATCGGAGAGTTTAGAACAGCAAGGAGGCGGCGACGACCGCCGCGGCCACAGATCCGGCCAGAGAAACTCTGTTAAAGGTGACGGCGTTGTTAGTTCCGGCAGTAGGTCCCGCAGCACCAGGCGCAAAGCTCGGAGATGAGGAGATCGGAGTGGTAGGGGCTGCTGGAGCCGCTCCTACGGGAGAATCGGCGGCGGGAGGAGAAGGAGGAGACATCTGCGGCGATGCGGCAATTGGAGGCGTAGCAGCCTGAGTTGGAGCAGCAACTGGGGCAACAGATGGGACAGTCGCCGGAGTCTTCGATTTCTTGGGAGAAGGCGCCGCAGACTTGGCCGGAGAGTTCGCCGGCGCCTGACCTAGGGCACAGGCAGCCACCACGGCGAACAGCACGATGAAAATAGCTTTCGAGGAATTCATCTTTCCCATCTTCAATTCAGATAACAACACTGTAATTGAGAGTAAATTGCGGAGAATTTGAATGACAATTGAATGTATGTATCTGATGAAGACGGTAAACCACTCGCCGCAGTCTGATTGAATCTGGTGGCAGTTGATGGAGAATAAGGAGTATATATAGGCGGAGAAAGAGAGGAAAATATTAAAATAAAAACTCCGTATGAAATAAGAAATGGGTTTCTTTTCTTTGTTAAAAAGAACGATTATTCTAATTTTACAGTAAAAACTTAAAATCGGTACATAAATATATTTGAGCAATTTTATTTTATTTTTATGTATTTAGTTTTTACTGTAGTCTATTGCCTTTTTTTTGTGGTAATGGAGGGCGTGGGTCCCGCAGCACCAGGCGCAAAGCTCGGAGATGAGGAGATCGGAGTGGTAGGGGCTGCTGGAGCCGCTCCTACGGGAGAATCGGCGGCGGGAGGAGAAGGAGGAGACATCTGCGGCGATGCGGCAATTGGTGTACCTCTAGCATTTTTCTAAATATTTTAATAGGAGCATGCTACATGTACCCAAAAATTTGTATCCTCATTTGTATATGCATCAACATTTTGATGGTTTACATTCACACAAATTGTTGGTGCGTTAATAATAATTTACACTGACACAAAATGTTGGTGTGTTCCATCAACAAAAATAAGCATAACATCAAACAAAGTGTTGGTGCATCCCAGCGGTGTACAAAATTGGGTACAAATAGCATTATCCATTTTAATACCATCAAAGAATAATTTAGACACCTAATTTTTAGATTAATGCTAGCGGTACACTTTTGTGCACCATCACTCTTCATATCACAGATTCCATATTTATTTTTGAGTAAATTTTCAAAATAATCCTTTGTAATAAGGCGTGTTTTCAAATCATTCGATAATCAGTTTTAATTATCTATATGGTCCTCTATAATTGAGATTTATTTCCTATATAGTCCTTCGTAAACAATGGTAATCAAATGATGATTAATTGGGCAGTATGTTCGTATTTTTTATCAGCTAAATTTATAATACATTCTTAAAATGATCATTTCTAATTAAGTACTTTCCCAAAATGGGTTTTTCTAATTAAAATTGTGCATTTGATTTGAATTTTAAAATATTTTTTATAAGTTTTTTCAGTAATTCATGGATTGTATAGTGAATGTATTTTTTGATTTTACATTTAATTGTATAGAATTTACAATTTCAAGAATATACTTTAAATTTAGATGATAGAAATACTAAATTACCCTTTAGTCAATCATCATTTGAGTAACATTATTTACGAATGACTACCTCAGAAATAAATTTTAATTATAAAGAACCACGCAAGTAATTATAACTTATCGAAGACCGAATTGGGAAAATACCTTATTACAAAAGACTATTTTAGGATGGGTGTGATGGTTTTGAAATGAATGACATAAATAAATTATGTTTTGTGATTATGAGTTGTTAAGCTTCCGCAACGTTGAAAATTCCGGTACTGTTTATGTTATGAAAAAATATTATTGTGATAAATAAAAGTGTTTAAAATGTTTTAAATTTTTATGATTACCAAGATAATACTTTAGTCCGAAAGGGGTTGCAGACCTGGACAGATTAGGGTGTTACACTAGCGGACGACACGGCTCTTGATGTTACGAACATGGGAGACATAGTGTTGAAGACCCCAATTGGTTTCTGGACTTTGAAGGATGTCAGAGGGGTTCCAGCTTTGAAGACAAGTTTGATTTCTGTCACGTAGTTGGACGAAGAAGAACACAGGGTGAAGTTTGGAGACGGGCAGTGAAAGGTCGTGAAGAGAAATCATGTCATGGCCCACAGAAAGAAGAGTGGTTTGCTGCACATGGTCGGGTTACTGTCTGGTGGAGTGACCATCCCGGTTCAGAAGATAAAAAATGTTTGGTTCACAAAGTCTCGTGGGTAAAAAAAGGTTGTCTATGCAAGAAAGAAACCCAGAGCCACAGGCCAGGCTCAAGATGAACAAGCAAGGAAAGGATGGAGGCCAGCCAGAGGTTTTTGTGGCAGTGGAAGCTCATGTGGTGCTTCAGCCAAGGTTCCTAGAAGACAATCGATCAGGAGAACCAGTATTCTAGATTGATGTTGGATCATCTCTAGAAAATGTTTTGCTAAGTATAGAGAGTGTTTGTTCTTAGGATGTTCCAGGATCTGGCAGTGTGTGTTTGCAGTGGGAGCGGGTAGGGATCGAGGATGAGTCATGGACATATTTAGCCGTGACTGATGTGTTGGAGCTCGGGAGAGCTTCAACGAGCCTTTCAGTTGTCTAATGAGAGGGTCACTACAACAGGAGAGCTGATGAAGATTATTAGATGTACAAGCGATTATGGCGGATGGTAGATGATGATGATGATTATCAAGCCTTCAAGTGGGAGGATGTTGGGTTTGTGGAGGCTAGATACGTTTGGGCCCGACATGGGTCGACCCGTCTTATTATTAACCTGTCTTTATTTCTTAGGAAACAAGCTTCGTAGCCTTGAATTTCTTCCTATATATGCATTTTGTACTTGTAATTCAGAGATATCACAGGTGAACAAAATTTCTCCTGTTGCAGCCTAGATTAGGGAAACCGAACCATATTAAATTCTTGTGTTTTGTTTACTCTCGTTTCTCGCAGATATTTGTGTGCATTATGTGTTTAATTCCCAACAGGTTGATAGAGGCTTGACCAATTGTTTTGTTTTGTTTTATAGATAATTTTTTTGTAAACATATAAATTAAAATATTAATTTAAACAAACTTCGAACGGGAAAGAAATACATAAAAGAAAGATACAATGAGAAAAACAACAAAAGAAAAAAGGTACAAGAATAAAAAAATACATTGAAACACGACGAGAAAAATATAACTAGTCTTCCATGTTCCATTTGGCTTGGATTTTCTCCTACGCCTTCTCGACGTCTTCTCTAGCCCGCCTGGTCAAATGATCCGTTGGAGTCCACAGCATGTGCATGTCATTGTTGATCCGTTGGATATGCTCGGTAAGAAATATCCAATACCATACTAGTCTAAAAAAATATGGGCTTAACGATGACCGTTGGTGTAATCCTACGTCGATGGGAAACTCCATATGTTATCCCACTTTGACTTCTCACACTCGTTGTAGCACCATCGTACATTGCATGTCCTTAATCATACAAATATACGCAACCTTACTTCTTTTTTTCTCTAAAACCGTTCATGAAACTTTTATTGGCACTCTGTCGTATGCTTTTTCTAAATCAATAAAAGCTATGTGTACATTTTTCTTCTTACTTTGGTACCTCTCCATCATTCTCCTCACCAACTATATAACTTGAGTAGTTGATCCTCACATAAAATTGAATTAGTTTTCTAACCCAAAATCTTTGTCTCAACCCCGTTCAACTACTCTTTCCAAGAACGTCATCGTATCATCAATGAGCTTGATCTCTCTATATTTTCTCAACTCTATGTATCCCCTTTATTCTTGTAAACATGGACCAAAATAATCTTCCTCCATTCTCTAGGCATTTTCTTAGATCATAGAATCTCGTTAAGAAACTTATTTAATTTAGCCACTAATTAAATGCATTTTCTTACTAAATATTTCAAAACTTCAATCGGGATGTTGTTTGGTCCACTGATATGATATCACTACAAGAATTAGACAGAATTGCAACGACAATTTCCGTTGCATTTTTTGTATAATTCCGTTGCTAATGTTGATTGCAACGGATATTCTGTTACAATTTTTCCGTTGCAAAAACCATTGTTGCAGATTCATATCTGCAACGGATTTTCCATTGCAAAGCAATGCATCGGAAATTTGCAACGGAAACGTTGTTGCACAATGCTGCTACGGAAAACATGCAACGGAAAGGTCGTTACTAGCGTTTGCAACAAAAATCCTGTTGCAACATAATGCAACAAACGTTTGCAACTGTTTTTCTGTTGCAAAATTTTGCAACAGAAAAAACCAACGGAAATTTCAATACTAATATTTGCCACGAAAAATATTCATTTGCAACCGAAAATAATATCTCAACTGCAACGAAATATTTTGTTGCAAAAGTTGAAAAAAACCACGACGTACTACGTGCATGCTCAATTTCACACAAACTTAACCATCAAATGTAGCGGGGATACTCAAGCATACGCAAACACATGTATTCCACAAAACAAGAGTTTCAATATTTTCCATAAAACTTCATGTACTTGTCAAGTATCCTTATAATAATATCTATTGTTTTGCATTAATCAATTAAACAATAACCTAACATACATGTGCACTTCCATCACCATCTGCTCCATCGTGTCTACAAGGCAAACGGTCCCCAAACAATCTTTGCATCTCATCTAGTATCGTTTGGACAATGGGTTCGGGAAGCATCTAGGAAATATCCTCCTTGAGAGCTTGCACGGAAGACGGTTGAGAGGCAACATATGATTCAGCAATAGAGCCTATACTCCTACGACGACGCTTGAAAGATCTCTCACAAGCCATAGTC